GCCATATTTCCATGCTCTTTTCCTACAGATGCCACCAACCTACATATGCTTATTTGTCCTGCCTCGTTCTAAAGACTTGGGTAGCAAATCACATGAGGAACGTCCCCTAGTGACACTGTTGGCACTACTTGTTTCCAGTCTGAACCAGCAAGTCCAAAACTACACAAAACATTGGACATGAAGTTCTTGCATATAACTAAGCTGGCCACATGTCTTAGAGCCTTAGAAGCAGGTTTAAGATTTCAACACACTTCTATGTTAATGGTCTGCCCCTGTTAATCTTAGTCCCTTTGACATTCATTGTTTTAGAGTGATGAGGATACTGCACAAAATCTGGGTACCAAAAAGTCAACTGAAAACTTGGCAGCAGTTAGCTTTCTGTGGAGAGGTGCAATTTATTCCCCCTGCCCTAGCCTCCAGCAGGAGCAGAGCTCAGGGAATGAAGATATTCAAAGCCAATGTTAAATGCAGAAGTTGCCATGAGAAATGGAGTGTGTGGGTCACTGTTCATTTGTGCATCCTTTGGCTGAGTAGGAACCCACTGTGGTATGCAAAAAATGCCTCCTGCAGCTAGTTAAGTGCCTGTGATGAGCTTTGCTTTGCTAAGTGACATCAAGATGTTTCATGGGTTTCCAGGCTGCTGCTCCTAATGCGAGTGGTCATGAGTAGTGAACCAAACTTAACCGCTTTGTCCCAGAGACCCTCTAAGTGCATCAGCACTGTTTGCTAGCGCTCCCATCTGCATGCAGGAGTGGGCACAGTGATCCAATCTCTGTGTGCAAAGGTCACAAGCAATGTCTTTTTACATGATCGTAGCTGTTTGACATGATCAAAGCCACTGCAGGTACTTTGAAACACATGATCTAGAATTTGGGGAGCACTTGCTAGAGACCTGGAGCCCCAAGGTGTGGTGCCATCTATCAGCCTGATTTCTTTTGTAATAACAAATCACACTGATTGATTTTTTTTTTTTTAAAGCCTGCTTAGCTTTTGGGGGTGCGAGGTGTGGGGAAAGGGGGAGTCACAGGCTTTACTTGCCACTGGAATTACATGTATACATCCAAGGACAGTGACAGTAACAGGCACTACGGAAGAGGGTGAAACTGTTGTACAGGAACACACTGGTATATTTTAAAGCATAAGCTAAAATGTTCCAGCTGCAACTCATGGTTCAAGCCCTTATTTCTCATGCAAGTCTATGGGCAAATATGCTCTTGTTCCATCCCTGCCAATGTAGCTAATGGAACAAGCAACAGCTGCAAGGCAAACATGTAGCAACTAAACTTTAATTACCACAGGATGGTCCGACACAGAGGAATCCCAACCGCATTCCTACCAAAAGCAAAACTCCCACTGATTTCAGTGAGGCCGGATTTCACGCACCATGCACCTCCTTGTTTTAATGAGACGAGTGATAATTCTCTGGGATTAGGATTTGCAGCCAGATTTTCAAAGGTCTTTACGTGCGGATGAGGCAGGTAGGGCCTAAGGGGATTTTCATGAACCCCTGGACAGCTTAGACTCTTAAATAATACCAAAGGGAATTAGGCACCTAAATCATATCAGCTTAGGTATTTTGAAAAACCTGACTCTTATCCCTTTAATTCTACCTGGGAAGGATGGCTTTGGGGAACAGATATTTACTTGGCAAGGAACTTGGCAAGGAATTGCTCTCCGTGGCATCAGTTTAGAGGCAAACAAGTTCAAATGTTTAGACTCGCATCCCGCTGGAATAAAATCAAATTATAATAACCCAAAAGCTTTTCAAACAGGGCTTGAAGGGGGAATTCCCTATGACTCACCAATTTCTAGTCAATGGACAGATCTCCTCATCTTAAGCCTGATCTGTCTGTGGAGTATTGATTTCCAGTTTACGTGGAGTGGCGGCTGTATTTTGAAACATTTCCCATCTCGGTACCTAAAATAAACTACATTCAACACCTCCTCGTCACCCTTGTGCATCACACCAGTGCATGCTCTGCAGCACTCAGAGATGAAAGGAGTTACTGTGTTTTCCTTTGATGCTCACAAGAAGAGAGGGCTATGCTTGTGCAGTGAGAAGTACCCCGGTGTTAACCTTTAGTTTCCACTAGCACTGTTTGTACAACCAGAAATAGGGACTCAAGGTCAGGCTGCTCAGTATGTCACTTGATCCAGCTTCTTGCATTTGTAAATCTCCTTCCCAAGCTCTTAGGTGAGTGAACCATGAAGACCAAATGGGAGTTGGACATGAATCACTAGACATTAAATTATGCCCAAGGAAGCTCTGAGACATGTTATATCAGGCAAAGGATCAATTGCTTTCACAGTGTTTATGAAATCTGAAACATTTCTGTTCATGAATGTCCTTGTTTGCTCAGGACAGTACCTGATATTTTGAGATTGAAGGATATTTTATATACTTTTGTAAAGCAAATTTTCCCAGAATTCACAGAATTAAAGGCTGGAACTTTCCGTATATCACGGACCGGTAAATGTCACCCAGTCACATCCGTACTGAGCCCAATAGCTTATGTGACAAAAAACATAACATGTATTAGACAAGGGGTGGGCAATGATTTGGGCCTTGGGGCCACAAAGGGAGTTTTGATGAGCTGTCACGGGCTGGGTTAGCATCCCCCCACCAACAACTCACCAAAACTCCCTATGGGGCTTTGGACAGGTGGGGAGCAGTGTTCAGGAGCAGGATGGGTGGGTGAAGCTGGGATCATGGACCCAGGTTGGGGCTGGGGCCAAGCTGCAATCCACTCCCTGCATGCCCTGCCCTGTAGGAGGACGTGTGTACATTAGGGCTGTGCAAAATTTCACTGGCTGGTTCACTTCAACACTATTTTGACACATTTTGAGCTTGAAACAGCGAAATCAACATGAAACGAAGGGCTTCAAAACAGCCTTGAAACAAAATTAGGGCAGTCAAACCGTTTCGAAAGTTTTGAAACTTTTCGACTTTCGAAGCAGCCCAGCTGAGTTCCCCTCCCCAGTGCTAGGATTGGGCTGGGGAAGGGAACTGAGCCCTATCACTCAGTTCCCCTCCCCAGCGCTGCGATCCATCGGGCTGAGGAAGAGAACTCAAATCGAAACGAAATTCGAAACAAAACACTGTTCTGTCGAAACGGAATGGTGCCATTTCGCACAGCCCTAGTGCACATGTGTGGGGGGGCTGCCTGGGCACTAGGTCCTGGGAGCCTGCTAAGGGTGAGGGGAAGGCAGGGGGGCATGTGCAGCAGATCTCACCTGGCCCCTACACTGCTTTACATGGGGCTGTGCCCTGCCCAGGGCAGCATGCACCACACTCCCACCAGTGCCCACTGGCATGGCCCTGGCCCTGACCCTAGCCAGCACGCAGCTTCTGGCAGGGCTGTTCACGGTACGGCTGCAGCTGGCTGGGTGTTGCTCCACTCCCCTCGCCTCCAGCGATGGCTCCTGCTCCTGCCCTGGGCTGGGGGAGAGGAGGAAGCTTCAGCTAGGCAGCTCCCACTGCAGGCGAGGGGAGAAGAACAGCACCAGGAACAGCCCTGCTGGAAGCCGTGCACTGGTCAGGGCCAGGTCCAGTAGGCATGGGAGGGAGCATGGTGCGGTGGGGCTCAGCTGCATGTGGAGCACTGAGGGTCAGATTCAGTCGGCTGGTGGGCCAGATACTTTACCCACCCTCCTGACAGACTAAGGCATCCCATTCAGAAATGCATCCGGTCTTCTTTAGCAGGATGTACATAAGAACATGTTTTTTGAATGGTAAAGTTGATTTATGTCCCTTACCAGTTGCATAGTTAAATGACAGAGTTTTTAACAGTACATTCAAATGTTAACCTTACTGCAATCTTACACAAGTTCAGAAATGGCCTCTCAATTAAAATAACAACAGGCTTCCTAATTTAATTGTGGGGTTTTTTCTCATGGTTTTGGGGGATCTATATTTGGCTCTGCTGTACACCTGAAACAGGGCTGGGACATCACTTCTACATGTTAAGCAGTTCTGGAGAGAAGCTTTACGGTCAGTATTTATGGAGTACTTCTAATGTACCTAAGTGCAGGGACGGTTTTACCACTGTCAATGGGATTACTGTTTAAAAGAAAGATGCATAAATGCAGCTAACTAAGTGCTTTTGATAAATGGTCTTGAGGTTGCTGATTAATTGGGACTAAAAACAGATGAGAAAATTAAACATATGTTCTTGTTCAAGTTCCCTGGAGAATTTGTCTGAGAGCATGACATACATTAATAATTGCTTGGAATGGATTTAATAGCTCGTCTGGTAGTTTTGCATATAGAAAACAATCGGTCAATAAGAAGAGCATGGTGTCATCTGTCTGTGTTCATTAGGCATCTCACATGCCTCCTATAATAAAAAGCAGTAATTAAGAGATGCTATATGGCTAGAGAGGAATCATTCAGATGTGGTTTTTTTTCATTCTGGGATGCATAAGCAGCAGGAAGAAGCGGGCAATTCTTTTGAAAACCTTACACTTGGAGTCTACAGTCTTATTTGTGCCTCCACCCACATACAGACAGTCCTTCTGTCCCACATCTGCATAACTGCTCTGAGGCTATCAGACAGTCCTTACAGGACAAGAATAGTAGCACTCTGCAGTTCCATGCTATAATTCTCTTCTGTTGAATTTTCCCTCTGTGTTTAATGTCAGCACAGGAAGTCTTGTAATCCCCATGCTGTTATCACACATGGCAATCAAACAGTTAAGAGACCACTGAGTGATGCCAGCTTGTGCTCACCAAGATTTGTCGGTATTCAAAAGATAATCTACCCTCTCTCGAGTTGTTAAATGGTATAAGTAGGTTCTTCCTTAAGCTCTAAATTGGAACAAACTTTATCTCTGCTTTATTCTGTTCTTGGATACAACCATACCACTTTTATCCACTGCAGAGAAACTCTTCTGGATTTCCACTGGTCTAACATGTTAGTGTTAGACCATGGCAGAAGCTAGCCCCATATTTTCACAGTCAATTCTGCAATACGGTCAGCATGTTCTCGTCAGTCGCTTACCTTCCTGGGTGTTCCTGGAGTACCTGGTAGACACTGATCTGGAATGTCTCATTATCAAAGCGTTCGCGGATGTAATCCTTGTATATCCTGAATTCAGCAGCAGTCACAGCTTCCCCCTCCGGGATCCTGGAGAGATCAAACCTGAACTCCCGATAGTGACAGCGCTGATGATGGAACTCTCTGTCATGCTCCACTGAAACAGAAAAACAGCCTATTAGCCCGCTGGCTTTTGTTTAGCTTCTCTTGTCTAACAAATAACTCACAAGTTGCCCCAATCGAAGAGGGCATGAACATTTGATCACATCACTGCATCCTGCTGTTCATTTCTTAAGAATTTTCATACACGTGGAATATGAAACTAGAGTATCAGACTATCCTTAAAACAATGTTAGCGCCGGGTAGTGCGTTCAGCACTGCTGACCATTTAATGGCTCTTGGCAAAGCTCTGCTTGACGACTGTTCCTGGACCTTTGCCGCCGGTGATGAACAAGCTGCAGTGTGAAGGATCTAAAGCAGAAGGGTGGAATTTTTCAGAAGTGCCGATTCTTGGCCTAACTCCCTCGCTGTCATTATTTCAGTGGCAGCAGCGTGAGACCAACATGGAGTGACTCTGGAAACCATGAAAAAAGGAGGCATTCCAACTCTCAAGACTTTTCATGGGTCATGTCCTGTGCCAGGAGAATTGATTACGGTTGCTTACAGACATTTAAAAAAAAAAAAGAAAAAGAAACGCACTTTACCAAAGGAAGCAGTGCATTACTTCAGCCAGCTCCGCAGCATCTGTATACATAGGGTGCTTAGTGAGGCTTTTTGGTGCTTTTATCTAAAGTTGATTCAGTCAGCTGTGACATAAAAGTGCCACAAAAGCCCCACTAAAGCGCCTGATTAATAGAGATGTTGGGCGAGCTGAGTCCAATGAACCCGATGCCTCTTCTGGGCATGCATTGGGCTCGGCATGGGAGCGTGCCAAGTTTCAAATAAAGGACTGTTTGGTTTGGTTTTTAACGTCCGTAAGCAGCCTATAGAATCAAAGATCTGCTTCACAATGTCTGAGCTTTGACTAAAAAATAATCCTAGTACTTATGGCTATTCAATATACCTTTAAAGGGAATGCCTTTAATAGAGATGGCTTTGCAACCAGCCTGTAAAACAGTTTTGAAATGTATATACGACTAAATTCATATTGATGTTGACAGTGAAGTGTTATAATGACAAATTAAATGTCAGTGCTCAGTACTTCTCCCAATTAATATTCACCTCATTGTTTTATTGAACTCTTATAGTACACGTAATAGGTTTTAAGTTTTTGTGCATGCACGTGTATGTACATAGCACGTGGAAAACAGAAGAAAATTACTCTTTCAATTACAAACTGTGCAGTTCAGCATTCATCTTTACATCTAAGGGACTTTTTTTTTTTAACTGTACTGAGACTGCAAAAAGACTTGACATTGGATCAATACCTTTTTGGTATGCTGCAAATTAGCCCCACACCCACCTGGAGTGCCACTGCAATCTCCTTCCTTTGCCCAATCTCCTGCTCTGCTTTCTGCATCCTGCCCTGTGCTCCCCGCCTGATCTCTTGCTCTACCTTCTGCTTCCTGCCCGATCTGCTGCTGTGCTGTGCTGCCTGTCTCTTCTCTGAGCTGTCGTGAGCCATGCAGAGAGGCCACTCATGCCACTTATGGAACTCATACCATGAGTTGGCCATCCCTATACGAGATAATGAAAGCAGGCGTTTTGGTTCAGAACTTTGATCTGAGTTGGTGCAAAGTATAGAGGACTATGGTCTCTTTCCATGTACAGCATGTCCAACTTCCGATGCTCACTGGATCCGAAATAGTAGTAGTAACGACAGCTATTTACTAACATTTGTACCTTGGTAATGTCTGGAGGCTCCAGCTGAGATCAGAGCCCCATCATACTATGCACTATACATAGTAAGAGGCAATCCCTACCCCAAAGAAGGTAAATGTAAATAGACGAGGCAAATAAAGGAAAGTTGGAAAGCATGCAAAATGACAATGTGACTTGCCAAAGGTTACACGCAGCATGTCTTTGGGAGACCTGGGATTTGAACCAGTGTGTTCCCTTACTAAACCACTGCTTTGTCTGCTAGACCTCACAGCAGCTCTGCCAGACAAATTAGCTCTTGGATTTTCTCAATAAGGTATGTGGCTTCTTCTATAGACCTGTTGTTTTCTGGCATCCATTTTCTGCTTGTGTAAATGCACTGATTTCATTCCTGAGCAAAGAGAGATTCAGGCCTGAGACTGCAAAGTGCTATTTAAATGTAGCGTGCTATTTGGACCAGTGTTCATGGTCACCCATGAAGGACCAGTAGGGTTCCCCCTCATGGTAACCTGGATCAGGGATAGCCGTGTGGATGTAAGTAGAAGACCCACAGTACGGTCCATTCTGTTTTACTGGTAGAGTCAGCAGCTGGCCTCACATTCTTCTTCAGCCCATTCACTGTACTATTAGCAGGTTTGTGGTTCTTTAATTATTGCTGTATGGTAGCCATTAAGGAACTTACCAGTACAGTTCATAGGAATAGCAGGGACTCATCTTGCAACAGGTTTCTGCACATCTAATCCCAGCCCCTCTAACTGCTCTAAGACGGAGGTAATCAAATTGAGCAAACGCTTCTGCAAGTTGAAAAGCTTAAGCGTATGCTAAATGAACACGATTATTGTTTAATCCTACTGCTCACACTGATGTAGCCGTAGGTAGGTAACTTAGTCTCGCTGCATCCAAAACAGGGTGTGTTGTGAGAATTCATTAATTTAAAAGTTATTAATTTTAAAGTGATTAAAAATTCCTCATGAGTGCTAATGACATGATGAAAAATGCTTTGACCAGTTCCTCTGAACTATTCACAGCAAAATAAAATCAACTGTAAAGCTGGCAGAGTGTGATTTCAGCCCCCAAAGAATTTGTTTGTGAAAATTATGAGTATAAAAGACATGTAAGAATGGAGTGGCTTGTGCAATCATAACTATTAAGGCACATATGCATGTGTAATATAAAACATGAGGTGTTTTTAATTATAATATAGATACAGAGCTGGTACACTCTATTTCATAAGCCTTCTACAGACTCTTTTACTTCCGAAGTGCTTATGGATGAATTTCCAAAGGGGGTGGAGGCGCCTTTTGAATCTACCTACATACTAGCCACCATCTTGGTCAGCACTTTGAAGAGTAAAACAGGAGCCCTGAGCGCTGAAAGCCTGAATCTCAGCAGCTATGAGGCCAAGCTTTGTATCTGATGGCCATAATACACTGATGACTTCTGAACTGAACACAGTGGGGGTGAAAGGACACAGCACACACTTTCTAGTAGGATAAATCTTTCCTCCGGATGCAGGAAGCTCATCCTAAAATCTTGAGATATGCACCTGTTCAAAACCTGATGTCTCTCATGCCCTACACCGTGATAGCTAATGCCTGACTATGGGTTCAAAAAAATATGAATGCTTGTGGATGTCAGCAGAGCCTACATTTTGGTGATCTCCATCGCTGAGTTCTAGGAAAATGTGACCCATTGGGATGAAAAACGAATAGGTCAGAGCCACAAAGTTAAGATTTCCCAAACTATGAACTTTCCCAGACTTCGGGGATGTTTGGATGCAGGGTTTTGGTTTGGGTCATCCTTAGTGTTAAAACAAACATTCCATTGAATCTAGTCATTAAGATCATGAAAATATGTGGATATGTGACTAAAGAAAGAATCCCAAGAAACCCTCCAACTCAGTGTTTATTGTTTTTCCCATTTTTCTTTGCACTCTGGACCGATCTGCTGACCCAGAAGTAACAAATCCTTTCAGAACTAATTTATGAGAAACACTGACCCTGAACCAACATCTGTTAGGTGACTGCAGAAAATCTCATTACATAATTAAACAACAAAATCTATGCTAAAATAATGCTAAGGGTCTGACTTGAACTCATAAAAGCAAGACACATCATAATGAAGGCTGGAGTCCTATCCTTAATTCACACTGCTGGGCTTTGGTATTTGCAAACATATGGTATGCTATATAAGATTGTATGCTTTTTGTAGACCGTTAGCACAACAGCATGAGGTAAGCAGGGGAATGCTGAATAAGTCTGAATTTCCTGATATGGAGGGGTGTTAGCCAGACCGCTGACAATACTGCAATGTGGTTGTTTCAAGTTAATGGCTGGAGCAGTGCAGCTCGGGAGTGTTTTGAAGATAAAGAAAAAACCCATAGTTGGATTGTAATTCAAAGGTGTTTGCTGAAACAGTCAAGTCAGGAGAATTGTTTGCAGCTTTCTGAGTGTGCTTAGTTTCTCTTTAGACTCATAAAATCCCAGTGATCCCAAGTGACACAACAGACCATAATGAGAACCTTTGGGTCCCTCCAAGGGGTGCATAATCCATTATGTTGCAGTGTCTCCCTCGGCATGGCCTATGCTACCTATGGATATTTTCTGAATATCGTTACCAGGGTACAGTCTTTTGCCTGAAAAGCAAGAATTCAAAGTTTCAGGTCACAGGGAGTGAAAATCATTCCCTGCCTCTGAGCCGTGTGTGTTAGCCCAGTTCCTACTGGATGAGTGCCCTTGCTGGAAATCTCAGCAGTAATACAAAGGATGGACTTGCCAGGTTAAAACGCAGTGGCAAGGCAGTGTGAGAGGGAGCTGGTGCTGCCACCCTCCCTGCTGCATCTGCCCTGTGGCCAACTAGGGAAAGTTATGTCAGTACAGGACAGCACAACTACTGGAAACAAGTTATGCTGCAAAAGAGAAAATATACCCTGCCCCCCTTTCAAAACAATAGAAATGTCTGCCTCTGTTAAAGACATAATGTAGTCAAACCTGGATCACCTAGGACAACATGCTAAAACCATTTACATGTGCAATAGTTTGGCAAATTGTTTACAAATTTTGTTCATGAAATTAAGGTAACGGCAAGTGCAAATGACCCAGTCTTTCCTTTTGCCTGAGCAGTTACCCGGTTCATGCACGTGGCCATCTCAAGTATGCATGCAAGCAGGAATTCAGGTTAATACATGGCTCAGAAGAAACTAGACTAGAGGGCTAAAATCCCCCCAAGGCTTGCATTGAGAAGTGCTTGAACTGCATTGCGTTGTAGCAACACCACAAAATCATCTTCAGCTAGGAAGCCCTTTCCTCAAGTAGCTGGCTGAGAAATCAGTTTGTACAG